GCTCAAAATTCATTCGGCACGCTTTGCGGTGCAACTGTATCGCGACATTTTTACCCGGTAAAAACACTATTCACCAAATTTTCAGAAACTTACCTAACCACTCAATTTTTCGTTCTGAATCCATTTCCAGGTTTATTTTTATCATTTGAGACTTCCTACTCAATTTTACCTTCCTAGGGTTACGTATTTGGCTAATTACCGTTTTACCCTTCCTTTGTATTTTGGCCTTAATTTCAGGATTTTCACTAATCCTACCCTTTAATCCTTATTTTCATATATAATTATACGTTTTAGAAATACGAGGTGTTATAACTGCCATCTACGTGAGTCCAAAATTGGAGAGGAGGAGAGAGCTCTGGGTGAGCTTAGGCGCTGGAAGTGTCTTTATGACTAACCGTGGGTGTAAGGAAGGGACTTCAACGGGACTGTGTCTGGTAGGGAGAAGATCGGGGGGGTGCTCCTGTTGAACATGGGAGATGTGCTAAGTTCTCTTCCATACTTGATCAGTGCAACCTCCTTGACCTGGGCAGCTCTGGCCCCTTTTACACCTGGAGGGGCCCTAAATTCGCTCATCTGGATAGGGTCTATAAAAGACTTGATCGTTTTGTTGCTAATGTCTAGTGGAGAAACCTGTTTGATAAAGCAGTAATTCAGGTACTCCCTAGAATCTACTGAGATCACAACCCCCATTTTGTTGTCTCAGTTTAAAATTAAAGATAATTGGGAGGAGCGACCATTTAGATTATTTCCCCCTTGGCTCGATCACTCGAGCTTCAAGGCTCCTATGAAGAAGAGTTGGAACTTGGAAGAAGATACCCCGTCAAATCTCTCAGCCCTTATCCCAACTCTTCGGGAGTGGAATGACTGTACCTACGGGATTATTCAAAAGAAGAAACTTTCTCTTCTTCGTAGATTGGATGGTATCCAAAGACATCAGGAGCAAAGTCATAATCCTCATCTAGACATTCCGGAAAGGGAACTTAGGCTTGAGCTAGACAATACTCTGGAAATAGAAGAGTAGCTTTGGAACCATAAGTCCATAGCTCAGTGGATTAAAGACGGCGATCGCAATACTAAATACTATCATACAGTAGCGATTGCGAGGAGAAGAAGGAATAAGATCTTGGCTCTTAAGAATGAGGTGGGCATGTGGGTGAGGAATGAAAATACTCTTAAAAACATGGCATTGAACTTTTATCTGCAACTGTTTTCTGATGACAAGCCTAATAGAGAGTGGATCTCCACCTCTGACAACTGGGCCCAAATGGATCCCATCGACAGGAGTAACCTCTGCAACTCGATATCCTCAGAAGAAATCAAAACAGCTTTCTTCCAAATGGGAGCCCATAAAGCACCTAGGAATGATGGGTTCCAAGCTAGTTTCTACTAGAGGAACTGGGATTTTCTGGCTGACAAGATTTGTCAAGACATAAAAGGATTTTTCTCTAACCTTGAAGACATTGGAAGGATTAATGACACTCTCCTAGGGCTCATTCCCAAGATTGAAAAGCCTGAAAGAATCGAACAACTTCGGCCTATTGCCCTTTGCAATGTCCTCTACAAAGCTATAACCAAGATCATTGTCAACCGTTTGAAGAATGTTATGGACAAGCTCATATCTCCATTTCAAACCAGCTTTGTTCCAGGAAGGAATATTCATGACAATGTCATCATTGCTCAAGAGATGACGCACTCGATGAATAAGCTTGTCGGGAGGAAAGCGTTTATGTCAATCAAAATTGACCTAGCCAAAGCTTATGATAGACTGAATTGGGACTTCATAATCAAAGTATTGCTGGAGGCGGGTATCCCTGCAGATTTGACTAATGTTATCAAAGTTTGCATCTCTTCTTCTAATTTTCAAGTTCTCCGGAATAGCAGCAAAACAGAATCCTTCAAGCCTTCTAGGGGAATTCGTTAAGGGGATCTAATACCCCCTTATTTGTTTGTGCTGTGTATGGATAAGTTGTCGCATTTAATAGCTAATGCAGTAAAGAGGAAGCACTAGAAACCAATTAAAGCTGGGAGAAGAGGACCTCTCATTTCGCACCTTATGTTTGCAGACGATCTAGTTTTGTTCGGGGAAGCTAGTCTTTTTCAACTGGATGTGATGCTTGACTGTCTCAATTCCTTTTGCGTTATGTCTGGTCAGCTGGTTAGTATTGAGAAGACAATGATTTATTTCTCCAAAAACACTTCTAGCCCAACCAAGGAGGCTATAACCCAGGGTAGTGGTTTTAGCCAAGCTGAGTCCCTTGGGAGATATCTTAGAGCTATGTTATATCACGGTCGAGGGAGGAAAAGGAACTATTCAGCAATAGTCGAGACTAGTAGGGTGGAAGAGTAATCTCTTATCCTTTGCTGGATGCACGATGCTTGCTAAGTCAGTCCTTAGTACTATTCCCACATACCACATGCAGCATGGTTCAATCCCAGTCTCGATCTGCAGCGAGATTGAAAAAATTCAGCAAGCCTTCATCTGGGGGGATCATACTGACAAGAAGAGGGTCCATTTGATAGCTTGGGACAAGCTTTGCAAGCCCAAGGCAGCTGGAGGTTTGGGTATTCACAGCCTGAAGGTTCATAACGAAGCTTTCCTCTTTAAAATGGCCTGGCAAATTCTACATAACCAAAATGCTCTTTGGGTGCAAATTCTCTTAGGAAAATATGAAAGGGGGAAAGACATCAGAAGACAAACTTCCTCCCAACAATATGATTCCAATCTTTGGAAAGGCCTTTGTCGAATCTGGGAGGATTTCCTCGGATGCCTACATTGGAAAATAGGTAATAATGGCAAGGACATATTTTTCTGCAAGGACCTTTGAACCTTGCTGGACAGTCCCCTTAGGGACCTCTGTGTGGATGCTCTTACCTCTCTCAACCTGGAAGCCAAAGTAGTAGACCTTTTTTATGCTAACGCAGGCGAGTGGTGCTTGAACTCTCTTATAAGTATCCTCCCTGACCATGTGATTCAACACATCAGAACCTTTTTGCCCCCTGCATCTGATGGGCCTTCGGACTGTTTGGTTTGGAAGAAGAAGGTTCAGCCAAGGGGTTTTATCAAGCATGTGTACCGCTCGATCATGCAGCTGGACTCCCTTCCCCATGATCCATCCTGGAAGTACATTTGGAATTGGCAGGGTCCCCACCATCTGAGACATTTCACTTGGTTTATTCCTCACGGTCGAATTCTTTCCAAGGATGTTGCCTCACGTTGGGGTGGTTCCCCGTACTGTCATGTGTGTTCGGATGAGGCTGAAAATATGATTCATGTATTAAGGAATTGTAGGATGTTATGGCTGTCTCGAAGTGCTAGTTCCCTGGTGGCCTTCCAAATTGATTTTTAAGCATGCCGCAGGAAGAATGGATCCATTACTGCATAACTAAGGGCTGGCCTCTCTCTTCTCAATATGACTGGCTGGATATCTTCATAGTTACCTCTTGGTTTCTATGGAATTGGAGGAATAAGGAGGTCCATGAGATGTCCTTTGTCAGACCGTGCAATCCAAAACAATGCATTTTGAAGTATATAGAGGATATCAGGCATGCGCTCAACAACATGACGTATGTCATGGATACTGCACCTGTCTTTCCTCTTGTACGTTGGCTGCCTCCTCCTTATCTTTGGTGGAAAATCAATGTTGATGCAGCTGTTGAAAGAGGTGGGGTATGGCATCGTGTGGGGGCCTTTTAAAGGATGAAGCAGGGAGTTGGATAACTGGCTTCATGTACAAAATAGGTTGTTGTGATGTCCTAACTGCAGAATATAGGCTATTCTCAAAGGGACTCAGTTTTCTTGGGATCAAGGAGCTAGTAATATCATAGTCGAAAGTGATTCACTTCAGGCAATCCAAGCCATTAATGGCCAAGGGGGGGATAGCTCGTTTCAGAATCTTGTGGACGACATTTAGAAATGGACACATAAGAATTGAAGAATTTCCTTTAGTCATGTTCGTAGACAAGGAAACTCTTGTGCCGATTGGATTGCAAAATTTGTTGTCCTCTCCCAAGATTATTTTACTATTTTGCATTATGTTCCCTCTGGTTTGGGTCCCCTCCTGGAGGGGGATGCTGTCGTTGGGTAGTTTGGTTTTTGTGTTTCTAGGCTTTAGCCCCTCCTTTTTACTAAAAAAAGGGTTTGCATTCATCATTTAACATGACCACACAAAATTTTCTACACACACAACATTTTGTGGGATCTGCATGTTTTGAAGAAAAAAAAAACTACGGCACGCAAAACGAATCTCTATAACATAGCACAATCATTTTTCCTACAACATAACTCTTATAAAACCTAAAAAAAAAATATGCATACCTATTCTGAACTAGTTCCAACCTCTTACGAATTGATTTAGAATAATACGTAAGAAGCCGTCACTTTGACAACAACCTCTTTTAGGCGTAATCTACCACTAACGCAAATATTATTTGATCAACTTTAGAATTTGTTAGAGTATAATATAAATTATTAAAAAAATTCTCATCCAATAGCTTAAGTTTTTGGATTGAATTGATTCTTAACATGATATCAAAGTTCGCTATCACGGGGTCGATCCTCACCTCTCCAAATTTAATTAATAATTAATTAAATCTTGTAAAATTTCTTAATACAAATAAATAAGCTTTAATTAATAATTAATTAAATCTTGTAAAATTTCTTAATACAAGCAAATAAACTTGGACATTGTCCACCCTTCAAGTATAATATAAACCATTAAAAAATTATCACTCAATAATTTAAGCTTTTATGTTAAATTAATTCTTTATGGAATTTTTTTTATTGACGTGTGGTTATTTGTACGGCAGATTCAGTTTCTCCAGAATTTCAAGATTTATTCTAAAATTATATGTTTAATAAGTTGCTGATTTATTTATTAATGGAGATCTCGTGCAATCTTGATCTATAAATATCTGGATAGAAGTGCCCATCGAGACCAGGAAAAAATAGCTAGTTTTTGCTTAGAGCCAATTTTGAGCACTATACAATAAATCCCCGACCATGGACAAAGTTAGTTTTGCGCTTAATCTTATAAACTTAAAAAATCTACAGCTTGATACACTTTCAAGTTTCAAGAACTTCGTGTTATTTACATATAGGAACTGCCCATTCCAGTACTATTCTCAGTTGTAGTATTGGTTGTCTTTTCCAATCCAAATATGACAAATAGGATATAAACATGTGAACATCTCTCTTATAATATAGCAGGGCAAGACTAGAAACTTGTTTATGACCTAACTTTAGCAAGTCGGGCCCTTATTTCTTCCATTTCTTCCTCATCATCAACACCCTCAGTTATAGCCTCTTCCTACAAATAATAATGTATTCCATGATTAGTGTAACTATGAGGCTGGAAAGAGCCTTATTACAAGGAAAATGAATTAAATGCATGTACCTCCTCTGTGGCTCCGACCCTTTGAGCAGGTTGCTTCACCCTTTCTTTCCTCACAGCTTCAGGAAGTTGTGCAGCTGTCTCACCAGCTATTGCAGTTAAAACTTTATCAACTTCTTCTTCTATCTCATCTTCTATGTCTTCCGAATCTAGTGCTGAGTCAACAGCATCATTTACTATCTCCTCAATAACTCCTGCCTGAAAGAGCCAAATTCCTGATAACTACAATGCAAATATCTTTTCTAACCCCAGGGAGGGGGAGAGATGAGAACAAAAAAGTGGTTTCTCTCTTCTACACTAAAATTATTGCAGGCGTACCTTAGTCATTTCTTTGCTGAACTCTTGCATTGTCACAGCCATTTCAGGAGCCTTCATGAGGTTATTGACAAGCTTCATAACCTCAGCACTCTTTGATAGATGTCCCACAGTACGAGCAATTGCTGCAAAGCAACCAAAATCATGAATTTCCAAAGAACAAAATTCTAATAAGAAATAACTCAAATCTGTGATGATGACTTATTTTGCAAAAAAATCCACAGCTAAAAAGAGAAATGGTTAATCTAAATATTATATTTAACTATTCAATAAAAACAGGTACAGCGAGAATATTACACATATAATTTCTCACCCTAGAGTCATTGCATCAGGCCCAAATACAAAATATTGAAGAAAAGAAAGCTGAACCAGACAATACATAACTCAGCCTATAACCCTCATCCACTCTTCCTCCTCTCTCTTTTTTAGGTTTTAAAACCCTCTCCCAGCTCTTATAAATTTGACAGAAGAATTTCCTCCCCAGAGAATACCATAATGATGCACCACAAAGGGGGTGTCAATTAGAATGAACTTTTATTCTTTATCAAGGAAAGGCCGTGTACAATTGACCCTCGCCCTTACTCATGAACTTGGGGACCTTTGTGCACTGGGATTCACCCTTTAGTGGTATGGACACTATATGGATTAGGAATGTCCTTGAAGATATCTTACTTTCCAGCCAAGTACAGTTATGCCTATCAAATGGCTCGATATTTGTAATACAACATAAAACATTTTCTTATCCATATCATTTCAATGATTTTTCTTGTTTCCATGTAACGACTAGAGTTTCTACAAGAGTTAAAAACAAATTCAAACTCACCAATATGTTGCACACCAGGTTAACATCACATTCAGTTCTCCCCCCTCTACCCCCAAAAACCAAATACAGAAGCAGCAGATAGTCAGTTGATCTTAACCAAAAAATTGACAATCAACAAAAGTCAATTATGTTGACAAGTTTACCTATACGATTCAGTTAACAAGAGGGAATAAAGAAAATAAAAGTTCTTCAGTTAAGCATAAATTAACAAACAACTCATATCAAGCACAGGTACTACCTTGGACAAAGGTTTTTTATTTGTTATGTGGCAAAATTAAGTTACGGCTAATAAAACATGGCAAAACATACCAACACTCTCTCCAAGGTGCATTGATATTGAATTCAATTGTGCCTTATTTTCATAAAGACGGTTCACTGTTTTCCTAGATCTCACGAGTTCCTTAGCAAGTGCCTGCAAATTGCACAAATATCAAAATATGGAGAAAAATAAGAATTTTTATTTTTCAAAATACTGACTTTATACTTTAAATCAAGTCACATCCTAAGAAGGTGTGTTTGATTTGCTAAAATATAAGAGATAACATAGCACAACGAAATTTATACTTTGTTTGATTCAAATAGTATAAGTACGGGATTAAAACAACTCGAGAAAGCACAAATCTCTAAATTTTGTTACCCACTAAACCATGTTACAAAATCTTGTCCAAAGCACAAAAAGAGAAAAAGGCAAATAACTCCTACCCTTTTATTATATCAGCTTTATTGCACAGAAAACAATGCACAACAAAAGGATAATATAATAAATTTTGCATTATTCTAACCATGATATCACAAATTTTTTAGTCCAATAGCTAACAACACAAAAAATTGTTTGGTGACTCAACCCCTTGTATTGTACTATCCCTCAATATGCATCAAAATGCAATCTAAAAGTCCATACGCTAGCTCAAACCAAAAACAGCTTCATTATTAGTTTACTGAATATTGTGAGTAGTCCTAACAAGTCCACCATAGTCCATAGAACCTTCTAGCCACATAACCATCCAGTTTAGCATAAACAAGATGTTAAGGTTCTGCTTTTCAGGTTTTTCTCCCATCCACTCTCCTGCCTCCTTTCTTCAGGTGTACCAGTACGCGACATAATAATACACTATTTGCCACTTATTCTGTTATCATCTAAGAATTTGGGACTTAATATCAAAATATCTCATAAAAAGGAAAATAATATCCTCCATATCCGTTGCGTTTAAACTTTATTTAATTAAAGAAAATAGAAAATGAAGAGTTTTGTGGTAAAGGGGTGTGTCCCTTAGGAATTTGTTAGTGGACATTAATGAGTTTAAAGTTTCTAAAAAGTAGTCATTATTATGTTTAGATTTCCTAAGTTGGTCATTAGTATTCTTAGTTATTTGCTATTACTTATAAATAGCTCTATGTAAACCATTGTTTAAGAGGCTTGAAATAGAAAGTAATAGAAAGAGGTATATTCAGAGACTTGTTTGTGTGTTTGAGTGTTTGAGAGAAATACTATTAGAGGACCTGTGAATTACAAATTGGTATCAGAGCTATGGAGAGTGTAACCACTTCCAGTATGCCGTTGCCCCGCCTAACAAAGGCGAATTATGTGAATTGGAGCATTCAGATGAAGGCGTTGCTCGGATCCCAAGATACTTGAGATGTTATTCAGGACGGTTTTGCTGAACCTGCAACTACCGCAGGATACTCAGCAGCTCAAACCAAGGCGTTGAAAGAGACGCGTGCGAAGGACAAGGCGGCCTTATACATGTTATTCCGAGCTGTAGATGAGTCCGAATTTGAGAAGATAGCAAGTGCGACGACGTCAAACGAAGCGTGGGACATCTTGGAGAATGTCTATAAAGGAGCTGACCGAGTTAAGCAGGTCCGACTTCAAACTCTGCGTGGCGAGTTGGAAGGAATGAAGATGAAAGATTCAGAGGGTGTATCCGGTTTCATCACCCGTGTTCAAGCCATGGTGAATCAGTTAAAACAGAATGGGGAGGAATTATCCGAAACTAGAGTTGTTGAAAAGATTCTGAGGACGCTGACAGACGACTTCGAAAACGTGGTATGTGCAATTGAGGAGTCTAAGGACTTAGCTACGCTCTCTGTTGAAGAGCTAGAAGGTTCTCTTGAGGCGCATGAACAGCGCAAGAAAAAGAAGAAGGAAGAGACACTGGAGCAAGCACTCCAGTCAAAAGCAAATATCAAGGAAGAAAAGGCGCTCTACTCTTAGAATGTCCGAGGTAGAAGTCGTGGACGAGGAAATGGCCGAGGTGGTCGAGGCCGAGGTCAGGAGGTGAAACATGAAGAAAGAGCTGAGACGAGTCAGCAAAACTGGAGAGGTAGAGGACGTGGCCGAGGTGGAAGAGGCCGGTGGTCGAATCAAAATAATGTAGAATGTCATAAGTGTGGGAAGTATGGTCACTACGCAAGAGATTGCAACTCGGACAGGTGCTACAACTGTGGCCGAGTTGGGCATTTCGCTAAGGATTGCCGAGATGAAAGAAGAGTTGACGAGGCTTCAAACCTCGCTGTAGAAGGAGATGGAGGAATTCTTATGCTAGCCCATGGTGAAACAAGTTCAAAGAATGAGTCGGAGTGGTATTTGGACACTGGTGCCAGTAATCACATGTGTGGTTACAAACATCTGTTCAAGGAGTTGAAAACAGTGGAAGCCGGACATGTCTCTTTTGGAGACGCGTCCAAAATTGATGTAAAGGGCCGAGGTGCGATCTGTTTCTTGCAAAAGAATGGACAAGTTGGTATGATTCGGGACGTTTATTACGTGCCTGAGCTCAAAAGCAATATTCTGAGCGTTGGACAGTTGATGGAAAAGGGCTACTCGGTTCTAATGACAAACCGAGTTCTACTATTGAAAGATATACAAGGGCGTCTGATAGCCCGAGTTCAGATGGAAAAGAATAGAATGTGCAAGCTGAGTCTGAGGAGCATGGAGGTCGGCTGTTTGCAAGCCGAGGTGGAGGACAAGATGTCGCTGTGGCATCGACGGTTTGGACACTTTCATTACGGTGGTCTGACCAAGATGATGAAGAAAAACATGGTAGTGGGACTACCAAAGATTAACTCTGAAGAAAAATTTTGTGAGGACTGCGTATTGGGAAAACATGCGAGGAGCCCGTTCCAAAGGATGACGAGATACCGAGCTAGGCAGCCTCTGGATTTGATACATACCGACCTGTGTGGACCCATTACTCCGGGGTCCTTCAGTGGTAAGAAGTATTTTGTAACTTTTATTGATGATTTCAGTCGAAAGACTTAGTGTATTTTTTGAAGGAAAAATCCGAGGTGCTAGAGGCATTTAGGAGTTTTAAAGTAATGATAGAGAATGGTACTGGGAGGTACATCAAATCGGTCCGTTCAGACCGAGGTGGGGAGTACGTGTCAACAGCTTTCAAGAAGTATTGTGAAGAACATGGGATAAGGCGGTTCCTGACTGCACCGTACTCGCCCCAGCAAAATGGAGTAGCTGAGAGGAAGAACCGGACAATCCTGGATATGGTCCGATCTATGTTGAAGACGAAGAACATGCCGAAAGAGTTTTGGGGAGAGGCCGTACAATGTGCAGTGTACGTGCAGACTCGATGTCCGCACTCAAATGTGAATGATAAAACTCCACAAGAAGCATGGAGCAGTCTAAAGCCATCAGTGGCTCATTTCAAGATTTTTGGTAGTGTTGCATATGCACACATACCGGATCAGTTGAGAAAGAAACTTGAAGATAAGAGTAAGAAGTTTGTATTCATTGGTTATGATGAGAAGACAAAGGGGTACAAGTTGTTGGATCTCGTCAATAAAAAGGTGTTTATAAGCCGAGATGTGAAGGTGAATGAAGAAGATGCTTGGGACTGGAGTTGTCCATCCGGGGTGAATGTTGAACCCGGGAAAATGACAATTGAGGTCGGACAACCTTCGTCCCATATCCCAGCTAATCATGAAATCTTTGATGATGTAGAGCAGAGACAACAGAGAATGAGGAGCTTGCAAGACTTGTAAGACTCAACTAACGAAGCACACTTGGTATGTTTGTTGGCAGATTCTGAAGAAGTGAGTTTTGAAGAAGCAATCCGAGATAAGAAATGGCAATCAACCATGGAGGAGGAGATTAAAGCAATAGAAAAGAACAAGACGTGGGAGTTAGCTGAGCTGCCCAAAAGAAGTCGGCCCATTGGTGTGAAATGGGTGTACAAGAAGAAAATGAACGCTAAGGGGGAGATCGAAAGATACAAAGCCCGGCTAGTGGCGAAAGGGTATAGGCAGAAGGCCGGCATTGACTATGACGAGGTGTTCGCACCCGTAGCAAGAATGGAGACAATCAGACTGTTGATCTCTCAAGCAGCCCAATTCGGATGGCTGATCTATCAGATGGACGTGAAGTCGGCATTCTTAAATGGAGTACTCGAGGAGGAGGTGTATCTGCAACAACCTCTGGGATTCATGAAAGCCGGACAAGAAAGAAAAGTGTTGAGACTGAAGACAGCTTTGTATGGATTGAAGCAGGCCCCAAGAGCCTGGAACACAAGAATTGACAATTACTTCAAGAAGGATGGACTTGAACAATGTCCGTATGGACATGCACTATATGTGAAGAAGAAAGGAGGTAAAATTCTACTTGTTGTTCTATATGTTGATGATCTGATTTTCTTGGGTAATGATGAAGGGATGATTCAAGATTTTAAGAAGAAAATGACGAAGGAGTTCGAGATGACGGATCTCGGTCTGATGAGATACTTTCTTGGTCTGGAGGTCAGACAAGACAAATCCGGGATCTTCGTCTCTCAGGAAGCATATGCAAAAGGAATTTTAGAGAAGTTTAAAATGAGTGATTGCAACCCGGTTTCAACCCCCATGGAACCCGGCGTTAAACTTTCAAGATATGATGGAGGAGAAAAGGTAGATCTGAGTGTTTATAGGAGTCTAGTTGGAAGTCTGAGGTACTTGACGTGTACGAGGCCGGATCTGTGTCTGAGTGTTGGAATAATAAGCCGATTTATGGAAGAGCCGAAGTATACTCATTGGAAGGCGGCAAAGAGAATTCTAAGATATGTTCAAGGAACAATCTCTCAAGGACTTCTTTATTCGAAGTCGGACAAGTACAAGCTGGTGGGATATTTAGACAGCGACTGGTGTGGAGATGTTGATGACAGGAAGAGCACGGCTGCCTATGTGTTTTTATTGGGAAACACGGCCTTCACGTGGGTATCGAAGAAGGAACCCATTGTGACTTTATCTACATGCGAAGCCGAGTACGTTGCTGCTTCCTAGCGCGTGTGCCATGCAATTTGGTTGAGAAATTTATTGAGCAAGATGGAGGAAGAACAAGTCGGTTCAACTGAGATCCCGGTTGACAACAAATCAGCGATCGAGTTAGCAAAGAACCCGGTCAACCATGAGAGAAGTAAGCATATTGATGTCAGGTTTCATTTCATCCGAGATCAAGTCAGAGAAGAAAAGGTGGATCTCACTCATGTTGCAAGCCGAGATCAAGTTGGAGATATTTTCACAAAGCCCCTGCCAACGTTGTTGTTTGAGAATTGCAAGAAGAAGATGGGAATGAAGGACGGTAGAGATATTAAAGTTTAAGGGGGAGTTTTGTTGGGTTTAAACTTTATTTAATTAAAGAAAATAGAAAATGAAGAGTTTTGTGGTAAAGGGGTGTGTCCCTTAGGAATTTGTTAGTGGACATTAATGAGTTTAAAGTTTCTAAAAAGTAGTCATTATTATGTTTAGATTTCCTAAGTTGGTCATTAGTATTCTTAGTTATTTGCTATTACTTATAAATAGCTCTATGTAAACCATTGTTTAAGAGGCTTGAAATAAAAAGTAATAGAAAGAGGTATATTTAGAGACTTGTTTGTGTGTTTGAGTGTTTGAGAGAAACACTATTAGAGGACCTGTGAATTACATTATCCACATACAATAAACGTGATGAAAGTGTATTCTAAACACGAAGAAATCATTAAATCTTCCATTCTCTGTGTTCTCCCCCTCTACAAACACTTTTATAATGATGATCATCATTCATTCACACACATTTCTCAATCCCTCAAACTCAGTCAAATTATTCCATGGCACCACTAAAAAATAAAGTAATAAAATAAAAAATCTCACTGGCACTAACAACGGTAAATCAACAGCAAAGAAATATAATTACGAGTCACAACTAAAAAAATTTAAAATTAAAATTAAAATAAAATAAAATAAAATAAATGAACCTTAGCAGAGCCCATGTCATTCCTCTTCGCAGCTTCCTTAATCGCCTTCTGCACATTTTTTTCTTCTCTCTGTATATCTGATTGAAACCCATAAACATAAAAATCAGGCACAACCAAACCGCAAAAAATCATAAGAGGAAATAAATTAGGGTTTAAGAGAGCGAGGATTACCGCGAATTTGGCGTTCAATGTTGCGACACTCTTGGCGAAGCCTGCGCTGCCAGTCTCTCAATTGCTGCTGTGGGTTTGGCTTCGGCTTCAGAATGTTGATCACCTTCTCCATTTCCCACTGATCCCAAAACCAAAAAATGGAATTTTGAGGGATTGGAAAGAATGAACGTTACCCACAAAGACGAATTGCTTCAAAATCTAATTCTTTTTGGCAAATCCTACGAAGATCAGATCCTATTGAAGCAATCGATTCATAAAAGAAGATTATTCGATTTCTGTGATGTGCGTACGAAAACATAACGAATAACAACACGCACACACCACCATCTCCCTCCCTTTCCCACTTCCACGCGTATTACAAACAAAATGAACCACGATATGTTTAATTTTTCATTTAACTTTCCAGCATGTAAAACTTTTCTATAGTTAGATCTTAATTTTGTGGAAGACCGACCATTTTCTCACGTTTAGCAAATTTAAATTTAATAGATTGCCACGTCAACAGTAAATTTTGCAAAAAATGTCACGCAGCATATTTTGCTACACTGTGTAGCGAAATATGTTTTGCATATAATTCGTTACACAGTGTAGCGAAATATGCCATGCCAAACTGCACAGTCAGCAAAAATAACACGTGTCAAGCAGGCAGAATTCAAGCATAATTCGCTACACAGTGTAGCAAACTTCTGCCTGCTTGACACGTGTCATCTTTTCTAACTGTGCAGTCTGACATAGCATATTTCGCTACACTGTGTAGCGAATTATATGCAAACATATTTCGCTACACAATGTAGCGAAATACGACGCGTGGCGTTTTGGCAAATTTTACTGTTGTGGCAGTATGATAAATTTTTTTGCCAGGCGTGGCAAAATGGTCACTCTCCCTAATTTTGTGGTGTCTTTTTTAATTCATTATGATTACTAATTATTTCAAAAATCAAAATTTTCAATTAGGAAAATATATTTATAAAGATATAATTTTGTTTTATTTTAGATTCTAATTATTGATTAATTAATTAATAATTCACAATAAAATTCAATAAATCCTAACGGTTGATTTCCGTAAATCAACGGTTAGGATCTAAAATAATACAAAATTATATCATTTAACAAATATTTTTCCCTTTTAATAATGTATGGAACTTTTATCTGAGAAATAATGATTGTAAAACAATATTCATAATTATAATATATTAAAAATAATGGAAAATTTCATAGTTTACTCTTTTATCACTTATAACTAGGGATGTAAATGGGCTAAGTCGGCCTACAGGGGCCTACGGCCTAACCTATATTAGGTCAGGCTTAGCCTATTACAAATAGTAAAATAGAATGGACCTAGGCTTTTAAATAAATCTATTTAGAAAATAGGCCATAAGCCTTTTTATACATGTCAGGCCTATAAGTTATAGGTCAGCCTATATCATATTATTTATTTAAAAAAATAAATAAAATTATTATTTCAATAATTTTGAATAATAAAGTAATATTATTTTGGGTGAAATGTGTATCATTTTAAAGGACACAAAGTTTTGTCTTTTTAAGTGAGAGAAAGAGATAAATCATGAAAGAGAGAGTGGGGAAAAAAAATTTAACGATGTGGGTCCCACTTCTTTGTGAGAGTGAAAGGATGTAAGATGTGTCATTTAAAATGACACATTTTTTTCCTATTATTTTAGTTATTCTTTTACTTGTTGAATGTTTAACAGACTTAAACAGGCTAACAGGCTTAGGTCAAAGCTTTTATTTTTTGTTATCAAAAAAAAAAAAGCTTTTATTTTTTAAATATAAGTCAGGCTGAACTTGTAATTTGGAGCCTACACAGGCTAACTGGCTAGCCTAGACCCAATATTTTTTACACAAGCTTTACCTATTTAAGCCAAAGCCTAGCCTATTTACACCCCTACTTATACCCCTACCTTTTTTTATAAATTACCTCATGTGGTTTTTTTTTTCATGCAAGTCCACCTTTTTTAACATTGATAGTAATTAAACTAACTTGCTCATTTTATCTCTATTTTACTTATTAAAAATTGCTGATTAATCTGATATGAAGATTTAAGACACTAGCAACTATTTAATTTCATTACAAAGACAAAGAACAATCGTATGCTTTGCCCTTTTTAAACAAAAAATACGGTCCTCACTTTAGTCCATTACAAAAAAAAAAATTAGTCTCGAAGTCCCTAAGAAATTCAAAGTAGACTCATTTTGTTAAAATCGTTATCCCTCACAAATTAAAAAAGACCTACATCAGTCCCTCAAAAGAACTAAAATGGGTCCACTTTAAATTTCATAGGGACCAAGTGACTAATTTTTTTTATAAGAGACTAAAATAAAAACCATATTTTTTGTTACGGACCTAAAAAGATATTTATTGTTAAATATTTCACAGAAAGGGTGTAACACCCCTAAAAAAACCACAGACAAAAGTTAAACATTCAAAATTTTGAATGTAATCACTTTTTAACAAATGGATCATTCAAAAGTTAAAAAATCACCCTCATTGTTTATCAAGCAGCTACCGTTTTATTTTTATGTTATCATAATAATATTATTTACACATCACTTATATCATTTAATTATAGTTTTATACTATATATATATATATATATATATATATATATATATATATATATAGGGTAAATATTCCTACAGTCACTTTAGATAAGGTTATTTACAGCTACCCCAAAAGCTACGTCGTTTTGATTAATGAAGAGTGATTCTGTAATTTTAGGTGAATTAATGAAGGGTGTTTCTGTAATTTTATTTATTTATTTATCATATATATTTTACTGAAATATCCTTCGTTAATTCACCTAATATTACAGAAACACCATTCATTAATCAAAATGATGTAGTTTTTGGGTAATTGTAGATAATCTTATCTGAAGTGACTGTAGAAATTTTTTTTCATATATATATATATATATATATATATATATATATATATATCAACATTTTTTCTAGTTTTAAATATAAAAAAGTATAAGAAAACTCCAAACATTTTTATTTTTAGGGTCAGATTTTATTTTTAATAAACAAAACTCTAAACATAAAATAAAGGTAAAATGGGTAAGTTAACTCAATTGCTAATAATGTTAAAGGTGGACTTGAATGGATAAAAAAAATCACAAGGGATAATTGATAAGAAAAGAAAGCATAGAAAGCCATTAGGATTGTTCTAGTGATGAACAGTTTGGGTATGTTGTATTAGGTTATATGTTCAATTCTCACTTGTATCCAATATATATAGAGAGAGAGGTATAATTGATAAAAGAGTAAAGAAGGGGATTTATGAACTTTTTCCTAAAAATAACAACTATCTTACTTGCACAAATCTATATTTATACTTCTGAATCTTGACTGAATTATGTATATATTTTACATAATTTGTGTAAATATAAATTGTGTGGTTGGCCAATGACCTAAGGGATGTTAAAAGTTTTGAACTTAATTCTATTTGCATATATACACATTTAATATTTTATATATACATTATTTATACTAGTATATAAAGATGATTTGTCACCTTATTATTTAATTTTTAGTTTTTAAAACCATTATTATTAATTGGGAGAGGCTATAGTTATAACTTATTTTGTCTTACAATCTCTTATCATATTTTTTATTATCATCATCAAAACCAAATCAAACCAATGATTCTAGCTTTTTTAATGTCAAACTGTTGATTTAATTTTAATCCAACAATAATAAAAATAATCGTAAAACAAAAGGGATTGTAAGCCTTAGGTTATATGAGACACAAGAGTCCAAAATTGTTATCCAAAATTAACAAGAAGGTTTTAAGACTCCATTCAGATTTTAAAACGATCGTTTTCCCCACCATGAACCCCTCCCTCTTTTTAATCTACCCGAAAATTGTTGACATAGAAAAGAAAACCTTGAAAATATGAGCAAGTTTTCTCTAGTTATGTATACTTCAATAGTTGGATATTTGATAAACGTGCATCAAGCATTTTCCGGTTAATAAATTATCACAACATTTTGGAAGCCAAGGGTTTGATACAGAACCATTGATTATTGTTCAATTAATCCATTGGGACATTCATGTCCTTTTCATTTCAAACTCAAATCCTTCAGAGATTCTTATTTCATCACAAAAATACAAAAATGAAAGCATTTATATTATCTTGAACCACCACTAACAATAAAAATGAAAAATAAAATAAAATCACACACACACACACATTATTTGAGTACCTAACAAAAGCAGGACATAACTCTTTTAGTTTGAGTTTTAGAAGAAAAAGGATATAGAAAGCCTCATATAAGCCAAAGGATTGTCCTGCATTGGGTGCAAGGGCACAATCAACCTGTCGGCAAAGTAGCTTACGATGTTCATTGTTCATCGCAAAACGACATGAAATTCTATGCGACAAACAACTTATCATTTGATCATTATATGTTGACAATTTGCCTGAGGTTTTAATGGATGCAATCCATCCCCGTAGCATACTAGTACAACACCCTTTAGTAGATTTGTGGATTCAAATCCTATCGTAGTCCCAAATCTCAACAAAAGATTAGGTGAAAGCAGTGTATTTGATCAGCGAAATTCTCATAAGTTGAATGGAAAACTCCAAAATTATATATTAAGTGGTGGGGATATTATTTTAGGTAGGCAGAAAAGATTTATTTTATGTGCAATAATTCATACCTGATCTCCATGGTTTAAAATTTGAATAATATCATGGGACCATGAGAATCCAATGGCCCTACAAGTAATTAATCCGTTTCTACAATAATTGATATTCTTCTTCCACTCAGCACCATTGAGAAACCTCTAAACTTCAACCTAATAATCATTAGGGAGCGTGATTTTGTTATATTGATACAAACTCAAGTTTCATATAATGGACAACGTGTTTGATGCTTATGTACATGACTATGGTGTTTGAAGAGTGTTATATATATGGGATTATATTTTCTTATGCAAGAGGAGATATTTATCTCATGTTGCACTCACAATTTGATGTGGGTCCCATTGCACGAGAAAGGAGGAAAAAAAATTGAAGTGAGACCCATATCTTTTTGAGTGTGTAGGAGATAGTTGTTGTCTCATGCGACATGAGATTAATATTTCCCTATATATATATTTTGTTGGAAATTGACAATCATACAAATCGAAAAAAAAAAAAAGAGATTTGACACAATGATTTATCCTGATTCACTCAATGTGGGCTACGTCCAGTTTATTACAATATTCACCTTACCACCATTGTTACAAGTCACTCGGTTAACAAGGAAATATAAATAGGATTTAGAAAATCCTAACAATAATTATTCATGGGTCAAAACATAAACTATTACCATCCAATGCAGAAGCTGAATTGAAGGAAGAAAATATAAAAGCTCAAGCTCAC